TATATATTTATATATATATAATATCATAAATTCATAAGATTTTGATATTAAAATTATTCACAAACTAATGAAAAAAAGAATATACTATTTTAACTTCAAAGAATTATAAAACTTTTTAAATCAGATAGGAAACGAATCCGAACACAAACTAAACTTGTGATAATTTTATTCTGAATAGATTAAAAATTATTAGCTTTAACCCTTTTGCGCCGACTGTCACAAATACGTGCCAGCATAAAACCGTATCAATCAGGGTAAAAAGATAAAACTGGTAATCAAAGTAATTTTTTAGCAGTTTATTTGTGGGCGGAGTTATAATTGTTTTAAAAAAGTTTCCCATCACAATGAATGTTTTTGAAAAAAGGAACTGTCCTAAATATATGACGATGGGCGTTAACCGGTTAAGGTATGCAGTTAGCCTCCTTGCATTATTCCCCATGCTTAATTTCATAAAATGGTTGAGGCACTAAAATTCTATGAGTATCCCAGGTTTATATTGAGTCGCATTTGCGATCACATATTTTTTTGACATATTCTCCAGGATTGCTACGAGCTGGAAAAAAAAAATTATTTTTTTCTTAGGTAGTACTGAAAATGGTTTAAATTTAGCTTCCACTTGAGCGTAACAATAACGTACCCAATGGATTTAATTTATTTTTCTTATGAATTGAAACAATGAATAACTTAAAATACTTTTGCTCAATTTTGTTGCCTGTTTAAAAACAATTTTCAGTGAGTAGTACAGATTTACTCGAGGCTCATTTCTAATTTGAAAAATTGCGAATAGAGGGAATTCTGACAGCATAGCATTTTTTTTCTTCAACTACGCACATTTAATATCTCTCATTTAGCTTATTATCCTCCAAATATAAGTTTGATAACATGCTAGCTATTGCCAGCACGTATTAAAGTGACTGTACCTTACTTTAACTATATTTAAAGATTAACAAAATGCTTAAAATATCGTAACATAATTTTCTTTAATAAGTTGGTAAGTTTATATTTTATAAAAATTATTTAATGTCTTAAATTATTAAACTTTTGTTGAAAATTTTCATCTAATATTCTAAAAGAGATAACAGCTTGGTGTTTAAAAATTTGACTTAAGATTTTTGATGTTTGAAGAGCATCTTCAAAAAATTTTAGTAGTCAAGCTCAGTCTTTAACCCTTTCGCGCCGACTGTCACAAATACGTGCCAGCTTAAAACCGTATTAATCAGGGTAAAAAGATAAAACTGGTAATCAAAGTAATTCTTTAGCAGTTTATTTGTGGGCGGAGTTATAATTGTTTGATTTATTTAATTCACCATTACTTTGTTCAAAATAAAACTATTTAGTAATACTTTGAATAATCATTGATTATATACATGATTAAACTAACAATTATTAAAGTAAAAGCAAAGTAAGTCTGTCAAATTAACAAAGACTACATTTAAGTTACCGTTTTTTATTTAATTACAACTTGATTCTGATTTTGCACTAATGCTTTTCTGAATCACCCGTCTCCAAGGGGTTAAAGCATATTTTCATCTAGTTCCAACATTTCAAGTCAACGCATATAGTTCTAACATTTTAAGCTATAACTAGATGACTGAAAACAAAAAATACATCATCATCATCATTCTATTTGGCATTACATTCAATGGTTGTCCGAGTCCTTTTGTGGAAAAATCTTCCAAGATAACCTATTTTCTGACCTGAACTACATGTTCCTTACCCTGATCATACTGAAATTTGATTCTACAGAATTGAGCCACCGTTGCTTTATCGGACTAGCGAAGTTGTTGTCCTTTTATTCTATTTTTTTAAAAAATTTTATTACTTTTGGGCTCGTTAAAAGTTCTAAAAGTTTCTGAGTTAAAACGACTTCACCAAAGACCATAGTTTTAGACAAAATATAAATACTTAAAAAATAAATATAAATATGTAAATAAATATTATACTATAATAACTGAATAACTTGAGTTATTACAGTGTATCAATTTATACCATAATAACTCAAAATCGAAAACTATAAAAACATACAGTTGCAGTACTAACCGCTATAATATTTTAATGTGATAAATAAATACATTATAATAATGATTCAAAATCGTCTAATAACACCGTGGAAAAATATTTTTTACTGTAGCCTGAAACTTCGTAACATATCTTAATACTTTCGTATCACTGATTTGAAATCTGCAATCAATTTGTCTTGCCAAGCTACAGTTTTTTTAAAGAAAATTTTTAGTTTATTTTTTGTTGCAATCTACTAATTTAAAAACGTTATATATAACAGAGTCTCCCGTAAATCGTGCAAAAAACTTCTAGGGGAGTAAGGGTAAATCACCAGGATTTACCCTTACCATGTATAAAAACCCATGACAGAACAGGTCATCACACTCCATTAGGAGAGCTTTCCCTATTATTAACTGTTCTGTTTCATGTAGTTCTGAAGAGTTCATTATAGGGAATAATAATGAAACGCCCTTAGCCGCGTACGATGACATTTCCGGACAGCTAATTTCCAATCCAGCAGTCTTTAATGACTCGCACTCTTTTTTGGATATTTTCCTCTTGGTTGAAGTTTGTCGAAATTATAACACAAGCTTTTATTTTTGTTAAAATTTGTTAACTGAACTAAAAAAAATAGTCAAGAATCAAGTTTTTTTTTATTTAAGAAAATGCCAAACTGAAGAGCTGTTCGTTAAAGTCGCTGGAATGGGGCAACTCTGCAATTTTAGTAAGCAATTTTAATCCTGATGATGTGCCCTAACTTCCTTAAAAGTTTGTCGAATTATGTCATCATATGTCGAATCCCTTGCTATACGTAACGTATTTAAACTTGTTCATTTCGACTAAAAACGCCAGTTCGCAAAGATTTAGAAGTAAAAAAAAAAAAAAATAAATTTTTCAGGTTTGAAATTACCATACGCGAGCTAGGCAAGTTTAACCCTTTTGCGCCGACTGTCACAAATACGTGCCAGCATAAAACCGGATCAATCAGGGTAAAAAGATAAAACTGGTAACCAAAGAAGTTCTTTAGCAGTTTGAATGTTTTTGACAGATGAATTTTAACAGAATGCAATTTATTTTTGATTTTGAAGATCCCATTATTGCAACCATGGAGACTTTATTATCTGTCGTTCATATATTTTTATATCAGAGTAAGGTATAGATAGAGTGAAGGGTTTGCTGCAGCAACATCAGCCAAGTCATAGCCAGTGATTCTGACATGACCAACAAAATAAAATATCAAACACAATTTTATAATGCTGGATAACGCCAACGGACAAGTGCCAAATGCTGGATAAAATTTAAAATTGGATTTGTGGGCGGGGTTATAATTGTTTGATTCATTTAATTCACCATCACTTTAGTTCAAAATAAAATTATTTAGTGTTATTTTGAACTAACAATGATTATATGCATGATTAAACTAACAATAAGTAAAGTAAAGGCAAAGTAAGTCTGTCAAACTAGCAACGCCAACATTTAAGCTACCGTTTTTTGTTTATTTACATCCTGATTCTGATTTTGTACGAATGCTTTTATGCATCACTTGTTCCCAAGGGGTTAAGTATTTGTATAAATGCAACACAAAATATGCTCCCAGTGTTATTATGATAACAGTACCGACTGTTATAAAAACTTCAATTGCCCGAGGGATTTTAATTGTTAAAAATGTCAACTTTTTGTTATCGCTTTTGATTATTCGTTTCGAGTTTTTTTAAAAAAAATTTTTGAATTAAGAAATAATACATTTTAAAAGAATAAAACTAACTCTGAATAGGATTTAATTTTTAAACTACAAGTATTTAATATAAATAAGTCTCTTTTATGATAAAATACTTTTAACTACGTATGAGAAAAAAAGTTAGCAAATGGATTGTGTCTAAATTTCTAAACAAAAGTAATTTTAAAAAAAACTGATGAAATGTGTAAAAGCGTTCAATTGAAATAATGAGATAATGGATTTCAGTTTACATTTAAAATAAAAAAAGTTTCCAAATGGCTTTGTACCTGTCACAGCTTGTAACGTCTAAATTAATATTTGAACGGTTAAACTTTTCTTCAATGATTATATATTAAAAGGATTAAAAAGAATAAAAAAGGAAAAAGGATTTCATTTGCTGTTAACGAATTTAACAAAGTTCCGCTTTTTAGAAAACTTTGTTGATTTTTTTAAAAAAGAAAAATGCGATTAAAAGATCAAGTTATATAAAAAAAAAAACGGTTTCAATTATAAAGTGCTTCAGACTTTATTGTATCTTATCTGAATTAATAATAGAAAAAGTGAAATAAAAACGAGTTTAATTTAAAACAAAATCCACTTTGAAGTGATTGTTCATAAAAAGCAAATTATCCTTAAAAGATTAGCGAAATTAATTAACAATTCTGTTTTTGTATGAAGATTTATACATTTCAAAAGCGAAGTATTTTTAGAATGGATTTGTGAATTAAGATGCAATATATTTCGCACAATACATTTTTAATTACTCCATTATAATGATTAAGCGAAAAAAATGCATTAATTATGTTTTAATTTTTACTTTTGAATAAAAGTTTTTTTCTATTAAACAAGATAAATCTTATAATTATTAAAAAATCATTAATTCATTAAGCTAGTGTTTGTTCTAAAATTAAGAAGTAAGTCCCAAAATTATTACGCTGAAAACACACTTGTATATCTGCCTAGTTAACAAGTTCACGCCGGGGTGACCCACAGGTGGGTCACGCTAGATTGTCTCATCGGGTCGCGCACGGAGTAAAAACTGGTAACAAATACTTTTCATTTTTTAGTTTTTTTCCGGGAATAATAAAAATCCATAACTACCAATTGTTTTTAACGGATGCAATTTTTATATTGAATTGCTTCTTCAGAGATGCCAACTTGCACCGAACAGCAAAAAAACATTTAAAAGTGGTAGTTTATCTATTGCGATTCTAGATTTAATAAATTCAAATTACAATATTTTTATCCACCACTACTTCCAAATAATTCATAGTCTTAAATGATTCCCCACTTTATCAGGGATGCCAACTGCTCCGGACACGCCAAAATAATTAAAAAAACTGTAAATAACAACAAAGTAAGTTCTGCAAATATTTTACTATTTTTGCTTGGTTTTTAAAGGTATCGTAGGCCACAGTCACTATAAAGCGGTGAATTATATAAGCCTACGAATTATTTAGAAATAGTGGTGGATAAAAATCTATTAAATTGCATTTATTAAACCAAGAAACACAATTGATAAACTACCACTTTAAAATATATATTTGCTCTCCGGAGCAAGTTGGCATCTCTGCTTTATAGTAGTCATGTCATGCTGTGCCTTTTAAAAATCAAGCAAAAATAGTTAAATATTTGCAAAATTTAGTTTGCAGTTATTTACCGTTTTTTTTAATTATTTTGGCGTGTCCGGAGCAGTTGGCATCTCTGCTTCTTCGCCGTGATAAATTTCCTTACAGTGAATTGTTACTGTTGAGAATAGATTAACTCCTCCCGAATATTATCTAATATTGAAATAGTTCTTCTACCAGTATTTTCTCTTTTCCGTCCCGCTTTCAGGCACAACACCCGGCGTGAACGTGTTAAATGGGATTTACAATGCAGCTGTAAAACAATAATTAAAATAAAACGAATTTTCCAAATACTGTGTAGTTTCGCCATCCCTTGAGCGCATAAACGCCTCATTGAAAGATCTTAATAGATAAAGATTTTGTATATAATTTTTTTTAAATTATCAATACACTAAAAAACAAATGTGTTACATCAATTTAACATAATTCACATGGTTGTTATTGAAATCCGAAGTAAACTTACCTGAATTCTTCTTTACTGAGATTGTTCAGTATACAGTGTTCTTCATCTTTTAGTAGTCTGAAGGACTGACTAATGTGGTAATTTTCCAGAACAGATCTGTCGTTGTACAACAATGCTGTCTCTGATCTTTAAGGAAAAAATAATAGAATTAGTTACCCTTTATACATGAAATAAATTATTTGATTTGAAACAATGATAACACTGGGGAACATATTTTTTATTGCATTTATATAAAGTCCTCTTTCTTATGTTATTCAGAAAGGGGATTTTAAATCTGAAATTAGTTTCGTTTTGAAAGCTACAGATTTTCTTTCTCAAAATTTTAATGTTACTTAAGGTTAGTTTTTATTAGAATTCACAAGTTTATAAGGAACGTATATAGGTGTATATACATTCATATTCACTCCATTGAAAATAACGTTCAAGACAAAAAACATCTGACCTAAGCCTATCGCATTATAAAGTAGAATGTATTATCGCCTTCTTCTTACTATTCCTTACGTAGTTGAGAAGTGGGAACATTTAGTAGTCACTCGAGTGAGATCTAAAAATTCCTGGTTAGGACTACATTGAATTAAAAACTGCAGCTTTAGAGAGAAACTGAATGCAGATTTGTAAAGGGTTACTCAAATATATCTAATATCCATTAAAAAAATCTCCCGCAATGGACAAAACTGTTCCCCAGTGTACGGTGTTAAAAGGTACCATGAATTGAATTGAATTTAAGGTTTAATGGTACAAGGTAAAAAAATGACAAAGCTGCGCCAAATAAACGGGTTTTAAAACTAATAAAAAAAAGCAATACATATAGTAAAAATTTATTTTGTTAAAATACAGTAAATTGTTAAAAATAATACATATCACACAGATGCATTCAAAGGTGAATAAAATGAGATACAAGTGCAAATACGGTAAAATTTCACGAAATAGTTTAAAATGGCGCACAGGTAATAAGATATAAAGTGAGGTAAGAACAGTCATACAGAATATAAAATACCAAAAGGGCGTAGGAATGCGAAGATGTTAGGATGATTAACTTCATCCAACAAATCTTATATACATAAAATAGAACTACCAAAAAAAGTTAAGACAATATTGGTTAAATTTCGGGCAAACTATCAAGACGTGATGGATTGCGAGAAAAAAGTTACAAGAATTGCAATGTTGAGATGGTTCACCAAATAGCAAGTGAACATTGAAGTTAATCGATTCGTATACGGGTGTGATTAACGTCTGCACTACAGTAACGTAATACAGGCAATAGGTCCAGATCAGTTTTAACAGAATGCAATTTATTTCTGATTTGAAGATCCCATTATTGCAACCATAGAGACTTTATTATCTGTCGTTCATATATTTTTATATCAGAGTAAGGTATAGATAGAGTGAAGGGTTTAGTCATCACCTCCTACATCAGAAAGCCTCCACACGGTTTCTAAGTAGTCTGCGCAGACTATTAAAAAGTGAACCAGTGGTGCGCAAGAAACCAAACTCTATTTTTAAAGTAGCCTTAGGCTGAGATGTAGTACGAAGTACCTGCCCGCAGAGCGGGCACTCCACTGCTTCGTCTGTGTTGATGCCCGTGGGCGACTAGAGTACTGTGTTTAGCAATAAAAACAAGAGAAATAGCAGAAGCACTGGTTGACGTAAGTTTATACTTGTTGTCGTGCTTAAGAAAAGGACAAGTTAGGTATAATAAATACTAGGGGTGGATACTCCCGAGTCGGCATTTTTAAAGTGATTAAGAGAAAGTTATCATATACATTTGAGAATTAAATCTGTAGTGGTTGACAAGTAAATACGACAAACCAATTATACTCAAAAATTAAACAAATTTATAGACATATATTTGCTACCACTTTCCTATTTTTACTAGAGTTTTTATTAGACGGCTCTTTCGTAAATTGGTTTGCCTACATAGTGGTCTAATCGGACTACCTATAAGAAACCGTGTGGAGGCTTTCAGTTATAGGAGGCGTTGGTTTAGTGCAGCAACATAAGCCAAGTCATAGCCAGGGATTCTGACATGACCAACAAAATAAAATATCAAACCCAATTTTATAATGCTGGATAACGCCAACGGACAAATGCTGTATAAAATTTAAAATTGGATGAGTCACCTCTTCAAAATGTTCCAACTGGCGCAAAACGATCATGCTGGTTGAGTAAATCCAATATTTTCCAATGGGCCGTGATGAAATAAACAAGTCACTACTTATTTGGGCATTACATGGAATATATGTACGTTTATCTATTATATTAATAATAAACTTAATAATATATAAATAATAGCTAGTTTAAGGTGAAAAAATACGATCATGCTGTTTGAGTAGATCCAATATTTTCGAATACGCCGTGATGAAGTAAGAAGCTCGCTACTTATTTGGGCATCACATGGAATTTAAGTACATTTATTTATCATTTTAATAATAAACTTAATGACACATAAATAATGGATGTTTTGAGGTGAAAAAATAAATAGGTCACTACTTACCCGAATATTAAATGGAATATATTTACTTTTACCTGATATATTAATAATAAACTTAGTAATATATAAATATTCTTAAGATATAAACTTAGTAATACAGTAAAACTTGTGTAAGTTGACCACTTGTGGTGCATTGTTTTAGTGGTCAACTTAGATAAGTGGGCAACTTATAGAGGGGATGGGTCATTGTTTACTTTTTCGCTTCCTACAACATGTTGCTATATATTTAAAAAAATTTTTTCACTTTACTTAAAAATTATATTTAGCAAATAGCCAAATGAATATCTTAAGAAATGTGTTTAAACCTGAATGAACTTCAATTTGTTACATATAATTCTAATATTTAACTAACTTTTTTTTAAAAAAAATATTTCGTTAGTTATGCAAGTGACTGCGCTCGCTATTGCAACTGGATGAGCAACTTTTCAACTAACACACTTGTTTTCAATGAATGAATGAAAGAAATGGTCAGAAGCTTACCCCCTACAGTTTCCCCAGATGGTCAACTCACAAAAGGGTTTAGTTTAGCTTTTTACACTATTTCACCAAACAAGTGAAATGTTAACATACATTGCAAATGACAGAAAATTTTCTGAATTTTTTATTCTGGTCAACTTATGAGGGTTTTAGAATTGAATTTTATAATACTCCCAGAGAAAATTGACTTATTATATAAGAAAGATTCCGTTCTTGATAATTGAGGTCAACTTATGCAGGTGTCCAACTTACAAGGGTGGTCAACGTGGCAGGTTTCACTGATAAATAATAGATATTCTGGGAGGTTCTTACTTACCCGGACATTACGTGGAATGAATTTGTTGTCCCTGTATGTTCATAATCGTGAATGATAGCTGCAAAGAGTGTGGCGAATATTTCAATATCTGTCAACCAGTTCTGAAACATTAAACATTGATTTATTCAATAAATAACAAAATACGCAAAATATTTAATTGAAAGATGGGCATATTTTGGATAAATAATTATCTATTGATTGATCCTAACTCTTAGATCGTCGGAAAGCTCCTATAGAGAAAAACACTTTAGAATGATGCAATATATGTAAAAATCATTCATAAATATCGGGTATTTAATGTTCCGTCTCTAGCATTGTTTCACGGAAACACTCAATTTTATTTGAGAAAAACTCTTTGATTCATTGTTCAAATGGATGAAAGGGTAAAATGTTTAGAGCTTGCAAAACACGGCGCTCTACGTCAGGACATTATGTGAATGATAAAAACAAACCTATTTAATGTTGTCTGTTAATTTTTACTTAAGAATTTTATATTCGTTCAATATTTCTACGAAAGTCGAATATAGTTATATTTACCTAAAATTATTAGAAATTTTTCATAGATATAAGCATAATAAAATGAAATTGTTCCTCATAATGTTTTTACCATTGAGATTTTCAATGTGCGTAAGCACGGTACTTGAAAATATGATTGCTTCTGCTGCAAAATAATGAATTAAACCTATTTATGTCTAGCTCCCCTTTAACCCTTTCACTCCGACTGTCACAAATACGTGCCAGCATAAAACTGTATCAACCAGGGTAAAAAGATAAAACTGGTAATCAAAGTAATTTAGCAGTTTATTTGTGGTCGGAGTTATGATTGTTTGACTTATTTAATTCGCCATTACTTTGTTCAAAATAAAACTATTTAGTTTTACTTTGAATTAACATTGATTATATACTCGTCGGCGCACCTAAATGCTTTAGCAATAATAGTATAAAAAAGAATCTTAAAATTGATGATATCAACGTCTATATAAAAAATTTAAATACAAATTTCTACGATGAAGCAAAGACCTGTACCACCAGCAATTTTAACTCACTCCTAGATATAGAACTAATTGACGACAATGACGACAACACTAAATTTAGCCCAATCACTGCCTTTTTCCTTAGGGATATGGTGCTGCCCTGGCACACGATATACACTCAGCCCCAGCCGACTCACACGAACCCCCTCTCGATTTTTTGGTGCTAAGCACCCCCTCTTCTTCCTATCTCCATTCCTCCTCACTAGTCCTCATCATCGATTTATTACTACAGATGAATCGGTTAATGCCACTTCGCGGCAGCGCACCGAGATTTATGTGATTTCTACCATTGATTATATATATGATTAAACTAACAATAATTAAAGTAAAAGCAAAGTAAGTCTGTCAAATTAGAAACGACTACATTTAAGTTACAGTTTTTAATTTAATTACATCCTGATCCTGATTTTGTATGAATGCTTTTCTGAATCACCCGTCCCCAAGGGTTTAAAAGCACGGTTCTTTTTCTTCCAATAAGAAAAAAACTGGTAGCAAAAATTGGCGTCGATGCACAGCTTTCATTTATTAATGTGCTTTGAGTTTTCAGTGGTGAAAATGCTACCCTTCTCGTATAAACAAATATGTTCTACCACCTTTTCATATCCATGTTTTTTGCTCCACATACTGACAATTTTTGGTGTTCGGTCATTGGCCACTCTCCTGTCACAAATGACGGGGTGAAAGTTCGCCCTCTATTTCTTGAGCGAGTGATATTTCCAGACTGGAGTATACAAAAGTAACGCACCAGAAAGAGTAAAGCAATATATTTCACATGCCCTGAATCATGTCTGTTTCTGAATCTATACACCAGATGGCAGCACTAGATCATTTGTAATGTGTTTTGGTATAGTTAATTTGTTTTAAACTAGATGTCAGCATTCATCAAAGATGCAAAATAAAAAAAAATATCTGCGAAATTGAAGATGGATACCTATATTGTACATACACTTAGTTTATGAAATTCTCATCAACAGGCAATTTTATGACCGTTTTCTTTAAAATTATGCGGCCATCAAGTGGTTAATGGGCTGATATCGATAATATTTTCAGAGCAATAGACAGACGATTAGTAACAATACTTACTGCTAAACCAGCTTGACATAATAAATAAGCTACAGTCTGCGTGACGTCAGCAGCATGCATGTTGTTATGATATGGATTCCTGTACCTTTCATACCCGTTTTCGATTTGTACAAGGAAACTTTCAAGAGCTGCAGTTGGTATCTGAAAAACGAGAAAGAAAGTGTTCAAATCTGAAAACATGCCCTTTAATGTTAGCTAAATCCTATTCATTTATGCTCATTTTTTAAAGCTCTATCACCACCGAACTTAAGACAATACTTTAAACAAAGCAGATCTTTAAATTTAAACTATATTTACCATCTTGACTTTATTTTATATTTATAACTGGCGCTGGAAGGCTGATCAGCTTTTTGGTTTACGGTTATCAAGGTTTAACTCTGTAGCCTTGTATATTTAAAACCAAACAATAGACAATCCTGGATCAAGCATCGGGACAAATTGACCTCAGTGGAGGGTTTTTTGATGGCACTAACCCACATTTGTGTTCCGTTGGGTGAAAAAACATTAAAAACAACTGCTACGAACACCCAGGCGGTAGGAAGCAAGAAGAAGAAAAAATATTTAGAAGAAAACTAAATTGATTAAAGACTTTTGTTGACGTTGCTCATCCTTTTAATCTGACATAAGTCAAATAAGCTCCAGAAGATTGCTGACAGCAGGAAAAAGAGGATCTGCGGTAAAATCCACCTTAGAAAGTCTAAGGCAAACCAGAATATGTTCAGGCGAAGGTGGTTGAACAGAACATTTTTTGCAAGTAGGGAAAATCTTTCAGCTTCCCTCAAAAGTAAGGCACTTAAGATAGCCACTTGCAAATCTGGCGAAAGTAATCTGGGGGCTCTTCGGCCGTATTTAATGTCCAGCAGTGTACCAGGGTATGTCCTATGACACCAGTGATGTGTGGGCGGCATACGTCATAATAGATGGAGCCTGGAGCTTTCTGAATGTATCTGAATAAAGGTAAAATACAATATTTTTTCTGAAGTATATAAATTTTCAATCCGTCCTAATATCTCTAATATTTATATTCGTCTTGATGTTTATTTTATTTTATTTTATAGCCGTCATTGAACGGCCGACCCAATTTTGGGTTTAAGACTACCAATGTTCAACTTCGAAGCCTTGCAACTTTGAACCCAATCCATAAGACTAGGCAGTTCCTGGATCACGAATTGGGAGAAATTTGCCTTCGTGGAGGATGGAGGACTTTTTAATGAAACTAACCCGCAATTACGTTATATGGAGAGGAAAACCCTGAAACCCTCTCACGGTTAGCCTGACTCTAACCCATGATTCGTCTACCTCTAAAATATTTTACATCAGCCTTGTGATTAGTACAAGCCGGGTGCGGAATTCGAATCAACCAGTCATCGTTGGGATTCAAGCCCGGTTCACCTCATTGGAAGGCGAGCACATTACTCCCTGAGCCATCACGGCTCTTGTCTTTGAGTGTAGAAATTTTCAGGCACACTTTCCTCTAGAGATTTATCTCTCGTACAGATTTTGAGCAGGTACTAGACTTTCCTCTAGTACCTGTTAGCCAAATAACTTACCTTGAACTTCTGTATGAGACCGAATCTGTTGAGGAGGTAGTGTCCCATGTATCTCAAACATTGTCCACCCGCTACCGAATTCAGAGTGAAAACGTCAAATGACCAGTCCTCACTATTCTGCGAATGAGAACAAAAAGGTAATTAAATTGAATAATTTATGGATGGTTGACAGAATGTAAACAAACACAAGCTTCCTCAATCCGAAAGAAATTCAGAAAACTTCGGATATATCCCTCCGCTTATGTTATACAATGAGTAGATAGGCTTAATATTCTAGGAAGTTTTATTACCGTGATTTGAGTTTTTTTTAAAAGCTGTCTATACGCAATATGGCAAGCAGATTAACTGTTAGTTATATGAATTAATTTGCTAACTTAATTAATTTATATTATATGATATTAGAATAAAGGATCAATTTCGAAGTTTCATTGGAATCAGGTCTTAGTTTGAAACGTTTTGCAGGTATTAAGGTCAATGCTAAAGTAAATTCGTGGAAAGCGTAACTAATAACAAGTGAGACGCTAAAATAACAGCAAAGTATAATTTCAAAAATAAATACTTTGAGTTTAAAACTAAGAAAATGTAATTTGATATTTAAACAAAAGCGATCTTGCTCAAATTAACGATTCAAATAATTTTCAACATTTCTGCAAGAATATTAATGCAAAAAAGTTGACTGCCTAAACATAAATTTCTCTCCTTGTTTAAATCCTTTCAAACGCTGCATAAATTCAGTTTTTAAAAATTTTAATAATGCTGTTTGTTAAGTAAATATTAAAATGGCTTTGTCTTTATTTAATTTTCATAATGCAAACTTTTAACTTCTGTAAAACATGAGAAAAATTCGAAAATCTAATTTAGTGAAACGTTATTAATTTAACGCCACAAGTTTAATCAGAAAATTCGCAGTGAGTTTTAAAATTATTATCCAAAAGGCAAATTTATTCACATAGCAATAAATTTTCCTTCCAACACAATGAATAAATTCCACAGAACATTTCAAAGTTTTAATTTTTTGTCTTAAATCAACTATTTCAGAACTAGTGTACACAATAGCAGAGGAGAGTATACGCTTTGGAAACTAAACAAGACATTCGCTGTGTCGAATAATTGAATAGTTCTCAATTTGATTTCAATTGCTTTCTAAGATTTAACTTCCAATTACGTGATAGCTTGGGGCTCCTTTATCGGACTCCCATCCAAGTAATGAAGTCCTTTCAGGTATGAGGAAGGAGGAGTAGGGGAGAGGGGAGTGTTTGAGCATTTGCATTGTCAGCAGGATGCGGCCATTATTCCAATATAGATTTGTAAGATTACTTTGCCTCAGTTGTTTTCAACATAGATTTGATCGATCTATGAAAAAATATATATTTTGAATTCAGCTGTGGCTATAAAATGTTACATATATATATATATATATGTGTGTGTGTGAGAGAGTTTTTTAAAATTTTGTTTTATAATTTGCATTAACTAAAACCTACCGATGTAAAACAATTTTTAATCTAAAAAATAAATCTTTATGTACAACTTATTTTGTTTGAAAAAAAAAGAAGAAATGATTAATAAAACAATAATGNTATGTTCAAAATGAAGATAAAGCAAAGGAAAATTACATTCTAATGAAAAAAGGGGGGGAAAGAAAATTAATAATAAAAATAACAAAAACTGGGGGGGGAATCCGAAAAAAAGGATAGAATTCTTTTAAATAATACGGAAAATAAAAGATATAATCATTTCATCAGCCCACACGACTATATCCGCAAGAAAGAGTGCTTTCTAATATTGTATCAATATAGCCAAAGCAAAATATATCAATACAATAGTGTGAGGAGTACTCAAAAAATTTTTATAAAAATTACAACAAATAAAATAGAACACATTAAGTAAAAATAACACGTAAAAACAGAAAATAAAATATAAAGAAAGAACAGAATAAAACATAATCTATAAAGTGAGTAGTGAATTCAAATGAACTTACATGAACGGGAAATTTTTTAAGAATGATTTAAAATATTTTCGTAACAAGATTGCCAGATTGCAAAATATGAAAACAAAAGTGCAAATTGAGCGTAACTAGAGGAGTTTTCGTGCTTTTTTGTATTTATTTATTTTGCTATATATATAGATATAGGGAAAAAGATAAATAATAACAATGAAAAAAAAATAATAAAAATCCAGAAAATAAATGACATAATCTTTTCATCAGCTCACAGGATTTTCATTATTATCACTTTTCATTTTCCCTTTTTTCATTGTTTTTTTGTTTATATATATACCAAAGATTGATCTTCAAACAGCATTTATTTTTCATAATTAACTGAAAGAATTGTTTAAGAAAATTTCAATCTTTTATTTACCACTGCTTTTAATTGGTAACAACTTTTTTACACTTTCAGGAACAAATTCCATCCTTTTTTAACTGTACGATAACTGTAGAAAACAATGATTGGTAATAATGCAATTATTGATAACAATACGTACTGAATACGTTGATAATGCGAGTAATATCGGTAACGATAATTTTCAAATAAGATCATATTTAAGTCATCATTTACAATGATATACAGTGACTTAAAGAAATAAAATCGCCTGCTACTAAAATCATCCATTTTTAAAGTCTGCAAAAACAGAATTATTGTTTACATTATCAAAAGATATCAAATATCAAAACATGTTAAAACCATCCTTTTAAGAAAAAGATCTCTGTTTTTTACAATTTTCTCCTTTGGTTAGTAGACATATATGAAAAACGTCATGTTTTTTTCTAGTCAGGTTATTTCATATTTTCCTTTCTTTTCAAGTTTTGAAATGTGTATGAGAAACAGATAACAAATTCCAGTTTGCAACACACGTACAATCGGAACAACGGTACAGGTTTGAAGTATATTTTTGGTGAAGTTGAAGGATTGTAGTTAAAAAAGAATAACTAAAGCGTAAAAGAATACAGATCATACTGGGGAACAAAATTTTCTATTGCACGAGAAATTTTTGAACGGATCTTTTATATTTTCGCGTCGCTGATTTCAAATATGCAAGCAGTTTCTTTCTACAAACTACAGTTTTTATGAAATTTAATAATGCATTTCTACCAGGAGTTTTAAAATTTGCTCGAGTAAATATTGTGTGTCCCCACATCTCTGCTACAAAAGGAGTGGTAGGAAGTAGATGATAATACGTTTCAGTTTAGAATGTAATACGTTAAGAAATACCTGCAGTCTTTGCTCTTATTGGGAATAAATTTCTCAAGTGGTATTAAATATAAAACTGAATTTTATTATTAAGTAACTAAAACAGCATTTTTTAATAGTTTGAAAGCATTATCGTTTCAATGTTTTTGATTTATGTGATTGATTTACTTAGATTAGGTGGTATTCTAAGTCCCTACAAGTAAATATAAATGCGAGAATTAAAAAGACTTTTATAAACACCTAATATCTAAATATAAAATACTACATAGAATGCGTAGTGATTGGCATCATCATCATCGAAATATATCTGGGCGCCTGGGGCCGTTGGCGGCCTTTTTCCCATTCGTCTTGTATTGTGATCTTTAAGGTGGTTCTTTCTGGTAATTGGAATGCAATTGGAATAAAAGGAAATTAAATATTTTGAATTTTAGTTAAAATTACGTCACTACAAAAATGAGCTGCCATCGGTCTGAGGTTTATGTCTTCTCTTAAGTTTTCAAAAGTAAAAATTTCGTTGAATCCTGCGGTGTCACAATTTTTGGTTTTTTCGAAAAATCTGAAATTTAGCTTTGCAGTATGATGATCTAAAAAATCTATGTTGAGGTCGCGATGCATGTTTTTATTGCGGATAAACCATCTTGCTTTTGTTATTTTCCTGAGGATTTTATTCTGACATATTTTGAGTTTTTTAAGGGGTAATGTGGAGATGTTGCACCAAGCTGGAGATGCATAAGTTAGGATGGGACGGATCATCGAGATCAAGAGTAAACGTTTAAGTCTGAGTTCCATTTTGGGGTTCTGAAGAAGGATTTGTAATCTATGACAGGCTGCTTGTGCTTTGTTGATAACTGTTTTGACGTGATCTTTCCAATTAAATTTGCTGTTTATGACCAGACCAAGATATTTTGCGCTTTTGACTATGGGTATAGTTTCGTTGAAGAGAACAACTTGATTTTTTGGGAGGATAGTTTTTCTTTTATGTTGGATGATTAGTAGTTTCGATTTTTGGCCGTTGACTTTAAACTTCCAGTCTAGACACCAGGTTTTTATTTCCGTAAGCTTTTCTTGGAGTTTCTGTAAGGCAATGTTGGGATTTATGGACTTCACGACAATTCCTGTATCATCTGCGAAAAGTGCTGAGATGCTGTTAAAGTCTTTTCTGTCGATGGGAAAGTCGTAGGTAAATAATATGAATAGTATGGGCTTAAGGATGTATCCTTGAGGTAGTGATTGGCAGCACAGCTGAAAGTCCATGTATATCAAGACGGAAAAGAGTAAAAACTGGTAACAAAATTTTTATTTTTTTTAGGTTTTTTTCAGGAATAATAAAATATCCATAACTACTAAACTTTTTTTAACGGATAGAATTGTTATATTGAATTGCTTCTTCCCCCCAAAAAAATTAATAGCAAATTACTGTTTATTGTTAAAAATAGATTTTCCCCTCTCGAAAATTATCTATTATTGAAATAGTTCTACTACCAGTTTTTTCTCTTTTCCATCTCGGTTTTCAACGCTCATATGTTCTTTGTCTCAAGTGTGACTTTCAAAGGGGCAGACAACTAAACAGAGGTTGGACTAAAATATAGAACTTCTATTCTATCTTTATATAGAAAATTTTTGTTTTAAAAAAGAATGTTGTGGAAGATTTTTCATGATAAAACTGTTGACACAATTTGAAAGATCATGCTTGAAGCTTTTAGAAATGAAGTCATAATTTACTCTTGCATCCTCCAAACTGAAGAGAGCAGGCTGTTAACTTTTTTTTAGTTATAATACCAGTAATTTCGAAAATAATTTACTCAATTGCGTTATTTATTTTAAAATACTCTTTTTTTTTAATGATAATGGTATTGGAAAAGGAAAAAAAACTTTTTCAGCCATATTGGTTGATGCAAATTTTGCACAGGTAAAATAACCTATTTTTAAGAACTTGAACTTTGTAATTGTGCCAACAGTTTTGCAATGTAAAATTTTCTAAAACGTTTTCAGCTAAAAGAAAAAAAAATTTTAGGACAGAAAAATATTTTTATTTCAAGAAAATATTTAGGAGATAAATATTTTCAAGCTGCAAAAGTAAAATATACTAAGAAATCTTAACATGCAACGTTCGCATTCTGCAGCGTAGTGCACCGTTTAACATTGTCACTTTAGTGGTGCAGAGTGCAGTAACGAAAGGGTTAAATGTGCAATGGGCATTGGTTCGATTTCAAAATTTCGTAACTACACTATGTAGCAGTAAAAATGAGAAATGTTTAAAAATATAACTAATGTCTAAATAAAATAGAAATATAGATATAAACTAGTGGGCTGGGCCCACTGCTTGCTAACGCTCGCCAACCCCCGAAAATTGCTACGTAATCTTATATGGTTTGCTTCGCAAACCAAGCTAGCTTCGGTTGCTACTAACTTAGGTACATTGCAAATGCACAAAATTCTAAGAATTCAAATCAATCTTTTAAAATCCATATAACAATTTTTAAAAAAAAATTCATCTTTTAGTAAATACTAAGTCATTAAAATAAATTTGAATTCAAATAAATGATATGTAATTCGTTAAACCTTTACATTTGGTGACAATGCTCTCTCTGGTTATTTCCGTTTCCGTTTTTAAAAGTGCTATATGTTGAGCCACCTTAGCTAGATTTGGTATGTGACATTTTTAGCTGCAATCATTGGTCGATTTTCTAGCGTTGCCATTCGGAGAGTTCTAATGAAGCTTTTTTTTGTCGCCGTATAAGAGAAATATATATATAGATACTGTATCAAAAATTGCAATTGAAAACAAATTGAAAATTGAAAAAATTATTGCAATTGAAAACAAAAGAGCTGTTAAACAAAACGAGGAATAATAATGCTATTACGTTGAACTTCACTGTGAAAATTATCTGATATAACACACTTGGTGGTCAAAATATATGCAAATAAAATATATAAAACCAAAAATTAAATTGTAAAGCATGGAATTTACTACTGCATTAAGTATCTACTTAGAGACTGAGAAAATTTAGCATGTAAGTATCAAATAGTAAAAATGTTTATATTTTTGGCAGAAGGAAACATGATTAGGTTTTAAAGATGGGATTTAAATTATTTTTGAAATACGTCTTCATGAACGATAAAATTAATTTTTGTAAAATAGTAAAGCACGGAATTATTTTAAAATAGTTAAGCAAGTAATTTATTACTGCATTAAGTATCGACTTAGAGATTAAGAAAATGTATCATGCAACTATCTCAAATAGTAAAAATGTTAATATTTTCGGATGTTTAACTAAAAAGGAAACATGACTATGTTTTAAAGATGGGGCAAAAAATAATATTGAAAATACGTCTTCGTGAACGATAAAATTATTTTTTGTGAAATAGTAAAGCACGGAATTAGTTCAAAATAGTTAAGCAAGGAATTTATTACTGCATTAAATATCGACTTAGAGACTGAGAAAATGTATCATGCAACTATCTCAAATAGTAAAAATGTTGATATTTTTGGCTGTAAGGAAACATGATTATGTTTTAAAGATGGGACAAAAAATAATATTGGATAAACGTTTTTAAGAACGATAAATTTTTTTTCTTACCTTAAGTAGCTGAGCAATCTGTGCAGGCATCTGGAGATTACTGGAACTGGACAACCGTCTGTAGATCCTGACAAGAAAAAGAAAAGGAGATACTTAAGAGAATACTTATAAGAAACGTTCTTTATAGATTTTTCTGTTAAAAGTTTATAAGAATATCAATAACGATACAAGTAAGGATAAAATCTAAGACTTTACGCTGAAAGAAATATTGCAGAGATCTTTTCCAACTAAATCATAAAATATCACTTAAAAGCTTTACCCTTGTCTCAAGGAAAAAATGAAACAGTTTTTAATTATTAATAAAAATTTGAGAATACAAATTAACCTTAACAGCTCCTAACACTTTCTTCTATTTTTAACATTTTTGCAATTATATTGATTTAAATAAAGTTTCCACGTGCCTCTTAATTTTCTAAAATATGGTGACAAAATCTTTATAAAAAAAACCCTGATTACTTTAATACATTGTGACCACCATCTTGCTCTTCTTCAAAAGAAAATTTACTAGTGAGAGCCACTTAAGCCTAGTGTCCTCGAGTGTCCAGTGTTCTCTCTGAATTGTTATAGTGAAATTCATCTCGTTCAGCACCCACTTCAATACCAGAGATGCCAACTTGCTCCGGACAGCAAATATATATTTTAAATTGGTAGTTTATCAATTGTGATTCTTGGTTTAATGCATTCAATTTAATAGATTTTTATCCACCACTATTTCTAAATAATTAGTAGGCTTATATAATTCACCACTTTGTAGTACTTATGTCATGCTATACCTTTTAAAAAGCAAGCAAAAATAGTCAAATACTTGCAAAATTTACTTTGTAGTTATTTACCGTGTTTTCAATTATTTTGGTGTGTCCGGAGCAGTTGGCATCTCTGCAATACTATGTATTTTCATTCCCTCTAAAACATAACTCTAAGCATATATTTGAGTTACGTGATTAATGTGGAGATCAATGTTTCAGGTAGTCGACCGGACTGTGTAGGGGTCAAGGAAATGACCTTGCATCAGAAATTTTCTGGGTTCGAATCCCGGGCAAGGCACGGATGCTCTTTCATTCTCTGTACTTAGTATGGGAGCAACGTTGGCCCACCTAATATGGTACCCCTGAGAAAGTGACCAACAAATCTGCTCTGTAAAATGCCTGAATTGGCGAACGTTAACAACACAGGTGGCCATTGGAAAAAAATGTTCCAGAAATAAAAAACGTGAAATTCATTTAACGATTAAAATAAATGTATCACTACAATTTTGACAAACCAAACAAAAAGTTGTAGCATAATTGTTTTCCAATCAGTTTTATGTTGCCTTAATATAATAGTTCTGTCTACTACAATGTATTATTAATAAGAATATTAAAATATGGATCAGAAGGCAGGGATGCCACGTGTGACCGAAACTGCTAGATGAGGCGTGATGGAACCTCAAGTCGTTTTCATTTATTTATTCTATTCAATTATTTAATCGTGACTACCACCGTGCAAATTATTCATATTTAAAACGGAAACATTCTTAAATTTATTTTCAACAGGAAGCTGAAAGCAGGGTTCGTACGCACCTGGAAAAATTATCAACTGGTAACAGTTTTGGGATAAAGAAGGTGAAAATTTCTAACTATTAGTTTCCACAAACGAATTAAAATATCCTATCCGCCACCTTCGGATCTATATGTGTTTTCTTAGACAAAATAAAATATTCTGATAGCTACAAAAATAGTAATTAAAAAAAGTTTAAATTAATATAACTATCACCTTTAATTTTTTTCAGGTGCTAATGAACCCTGTGGAAGAAAGTTTCAAGAAAAAGTATCTAATGTTAATCACAGGCGACTAAAAATGCAAAAGGTGGTAGAATCTCAAATCATTTTTATTTTTTATTATGTCGTTAATTAAGCACTTCCATTTTTTATTACGTCGTTAACTTCTTTGCATTAACGTTCAATTGTGAAGAGGAAAAATATTTTTGAAAAATTGCTATTTTTTATTTCTCTTAATAAATTTTGAATATTGTCAGTCAGCACTCTTTAAATTTTCCGTCGCACATGGCAACCTTGTATTTATCACTTTTTACATTTTCAGTCGCCTGTATCATCCTTGAGAAGCTAAATTGATAAATTTTTCAAGCTGATCTCAGCAACACAGCCATTCCTTTAAACTTAAGTTCTTGCCGAGTAAATTTTTTAAAGTGGTTGTAATATGGGAATTGATATATTAGAGGTGCCATGTGCTCCAAAAAACGAAAGTGGCCGAAATTTAACCCTTTCACGCCGCTTTCACAAATACGTGCCAGCATAAAACCGTATCAACCAGGGTAAAAAGATAAAACTGGTAATCAAAGTCATTCTTTAGCAGTTTATTTGTGGGCGGAGTTATAAATGTTTGATTTATTTAATTCACCATTACTTTGTTTTCATTTATTTAATTCACCATTAACATTGATTATATATATGATTAAACTAACAATAATTAAAGTAAAAGCAAAGTAAGTCTGTCAAATTAGCAACGACTACATTTAAGGTACCGTTTTTTATTTAATTACAACATGATTCTGATTTTGTACGAATGCTTTTCTGAATCACCCGTCCCCAAGGGGTTAATTAAAATTTACATATTTAATGGATTCAATCGAAACAACCAAATTAAATTTGATTCTAAATTATATATCTTTAAAGCAAAATTCTTGGTTCACATATTCTTTAATTTATTCTCTATAACTCATGTCATTTGTGTCAGTTGCTTAGCTCCTCTGACTCTAATTCAAATTAAGCAGTAAAAGTTTTCGACTCGATATCCTCGTATTAACTTGCGCATAAATAAGAAGAATCTTGGATTCTACTCACTTATTTCAATAGAAATCAATTGATTTATAGCAAGTAGCATATTCACATCAATATGCTTCTTGCTTCTAAGGCAATATCCCATATAAAGCCATACCTGCCAACTTTTAATCCCGTCCATTATTATTTTTCCCAGTGGTATTAAAATGGAATTAAAACTTCAATTTTAAGCAAACAAATACGTTGCACTTGAGAAAACTTAAGTTGACAACCATGATAGTACCACATATTAATATATGTGCTAAATTTTTGAAAGAATAGTGGTGATCAGAATCATTTAAAAATTAAATTTATAAAAGAAAAAAAATAGTATACATTTACTACCACTTTAAATATAAAAATAAAATCTTGCGGAAAATCCGGAAGAGTTGGCAGGTATGTAAAGCTGATAACCTTTATTGTGAGCTGATGCAATATTAAATTACTAATCAATCAATCAATCAATCCTTGTATTCACAACTTTTTAAGTAATTTATTGACCTCGATGAATGTTATGGACATGCTGAATGGGCAAAGGCTAAGTCAGGTACCCATCTCAGTTACATTAAAGTCCTTGTATTCATATTAAACAGTAAACTGAAAAAAATTTGTTTGAAAAAGTTGTGAATTTTGATCTATTTTAATAATTTTTGGCTTTTGACCATTAACCACTTTTTTTTTCTTATCAGTCACCCCTGTAAAGTTAAGCAAAAGCAACGTTATAATTTGCCAATGCTTAAACGCATCGTCGTACCAGCAGTCCTAGGCTGATTTTAAATCTGGGCTCCTGAAACCGCGCAGCCTTCCTGAAATATTTGAACGATGCCGTGAAAGCAATGAGGTTAGCTGTCTCCTTCCAACTATCGTATTTGTGTCAGGTAATTCACATTTTCCTGTCCACCATAATGCAGCGATTTGAAATAAGTCAGTGTTCAACCGTCTACTGTATTTCTGTCATGAATAAGTAACTCGCATTCACCTATCCCCCATAATGCAGAGGGCAGAATTAATTCGGTGTTATTTCCAATTATTGTATTTGTGTCAAGTATAAGTAATGCACTTTTACCTATCCTCTATAATACAGCGGTAAAATTTATGTCAGCGTTCCTTTTCCGCCTATTGTATTTGCGACAGGAATAGGTAATTCACATTTACCTATCCTCCATAATGCATTGAATAGAATTAAGTCAGTATTCCTTTTCTGTCTATTGTATTTCGGTTAGGAATAAGTAATTCACATTTACCTATCCTCTACAATGCAGGGGATAGAATTTAATCGGTACACTCCTTCTAACTATCGTATTTGTATCAAATTGTGTAAAATATAAGTAATTCACATTCACATATCCTCCATAATGCAGCGGTTAGAATTTAATCGTTGTTCTCCCTCCAGCTATCGTATTTGTGTCAAATATAAGTAATTCACATTCACCCATCCTCCATAATGCAGCTCTTAAATTTATGTCAGCGTTCCTTTCCCACCTATTGTATTTGTGTCAGGAATAAGAAATTCACGTTACCCTATCCTTTATAATGCAGGGGATAGAATTTAATCGGTGTTCTCCTTCCATCTATCGTATTAGTGTCAAATGTAGGTAATTCGCATTCACCTATCCTCCATAATGCAGCTCTTAAATTTATGCCAGAGTTCCTTTCCCACCTATTGTATTTGTGTCAGGAATAAGTAATTCACGTTACCCTATCCTCTATAATGCAGGGGATAGAATTTAATCGTTGTTCTCCTTCCATCTATCGTATTAGTGTCAAATGTAAGTAATTCGCATTCACCTATCCTCCATAATGCAGCTCTTAAATTTATGTCAGGGTTCCTTTCGCACCTATTGTATTTGTGTCAGGAATAAGTAATTCACGTTACCCTATCCTCTGTTATGCAGGGGATAGAATTTAATCGTTGTTCTCCTTCCAGCTATCGTATTTGTGTCAAATATAAGTAATTAACATTCACCCATCCTCCATAATACAGCGGTTAAATTTATGTCAGTGTTCCTTTTCCACCTATTGTATTTGTGTCAGGAATAAGTAATTCACGTTACCCTATCCTCTATAATGCAGGGGATAGAATTTTATTGGAGCTCTCCTTCTAACTATCGTATTCATGTCAAATATAAGTAATTCGCATTCACCTATTCTCCATAATGCAGCGCTTAAATTTATGTCAGCGCTCCTTTCCACCTATTGTATTTGTGTCAGGAATAAGTAATTTGTATTCACCTATCCTCTATAATGCAAGGGTTAGAATTATGTCAGTGTTCCTCGTCCACCTATTGTATTTATGTCAAGTATAGGAAACCACAAATTTTCCATTTTTCATACTGCAGTGGATGGAATTAAGTCATTGTTTTTCATCTTTCCATTGTAATTGCTTCAACCATAAGTAATGCTCTCTTACGTATGAACCATTAGACGGAACTGTTAAGTTGGTGTTTTTCTTTTTGCCTGTAGGAATTACATGAAGCATTAAGTAATGCAGACTCACCTATCCACCATAATGCCTGCACGGATGGCGTGGGCGACGGACTTGAAACGAAGTTTGTCTTCAGACTTTCTCCTCGTCGTCGACATCTGGCGGGTAAAGGTGGCGGCCAACCACTCCCGGACTTCGGGAGGGACGGCATCCGGTTGTACCTCTGACAGCTCATCGTCTTCATCTAAGAGACGCCTGAAATGTTTTAAAAATTTGATTTAAAATTGCATACAAAGTGTTAATTTATAGATTACATGAAGAATATCTAAAAAGTGGATATGGGTGAAAATCTGAAGAAGAACGCATCAGAACAAAGATAGAAAAAAAAATGATTCGCGAGATGCATTAAATCACAAAATAATATAGAAAATTAAGACTTGGAAATGAATATTTTCATTTTCAGAGCTTTTATTGCGAAAGCAAGATATTTTATTTTACAAAAAAAAAAAAAAAAAAAAANTAAAAAAAAAAAAAAAAAAAAAAAAAAAAAAAAAAAAAAAAAAAAAAAAACATTGACAATATGCAATTATTTATTTCGATTTGAAATGACGTGACTTCTGTATTCTTTAACCTAAATTGACAAATAACATTAACAAATAACTTATTTTATACGCATATCGTATCCTTTTTGCAGACCTTGCTTACTTGAAGGTAGGTACTTTATTTACGTCGCACTGGACCTGGACAATGGGCTATTGGCGACGGTCTGGAAAACATCTCTGAGCATGATCCGAAGAATGCATATTTGAAAATAGTAAAGGAAAGTAATCGGAAATTAGATTAAAACTTTTCGGTTCAACTAACTTAAATTAAATTTACACCCGAAATTAAAGCAATTTATTTTGAAGGAATTTTTTAAACAAATACCGTACACCTTGAAATTTTCTGACAACAAAAGGAAACTATTATCATGCAGGATGGCTAAAACTAAACTGACGGTTGTCAGAGGTTCATAGCTCCGGTTCTCTAAACCGATCCGAGTAAAACTTCAAATATTTTAGATTGAGAGGCTGAGGTTTACAAAAGTTTGCAATCAGACTGCGCTATAAAACAGTAAAAAAAAAGTAGAACTAAAAAACTCAAAGAATAACAGAATATTTTATTTAGTTACAACCTGTTAGCTCTGTGTGCATACTTAGTAGGTCATGAGGCATAGTAGGTATACTCTTTGGCTTTAGAAGTACAGCGCCATCTATTAGCAATATTGTAAGCTGTTTTATTTATTTATTTTTTTATTGAATGTTTGGTCCCATGATCAAAACAGCATATTTTTGTAGTATTGCTCGGATCCGCTCAGTAGACCCGGAGTTATGAACTACTGAGTATCAGCAGTTTAATTTATACCACCCTGTACAATATTCATTTTTTTTGTATTTTATATTAAAAATTCCTAAAATGATTGATTTTGTTAAATTCTTACTTGGTCTCATCCATATATATTGTCTCAAGTACAGATACTGCGTAACCAACTGTGCGCTGAAGAACGTCCATTGGTACTTCTCCATGGTTCAAGTGATTCGATAATTCTCGCAATCTGAAAGAAAAGGACAACATTTATATTAATTACCCATACATTAATACATAACTATATAAACATCTACTGAAATGGAGACAGAAAATGATTTCTTTTTACTTCCTTCAAATCCACGCATTATTAGGAAGGTAGGTACTTAATTTATTTCACACTAAAGCGGCGGTCAGGGAAACATCCCTGAGGATGATCCGAAGACATGACATCACAATGTGTGAGGCCACTTCCTCAATTTAGACGTAGATCTGAAGGGGAAGGAATTTTCTCCAGATCTCTGAACTCGTAATACTACTCAGCGGTACTCGGTTGAGTCATAGCGGAGTTGAGGTTTGAACCCCTGCTCAGTTCGATTCCCTAACCACTGGGCTATCACGGCCCCACATATTAATACGTAACTATATAAATATTGAAAGAAGAAGAATTTTTTTTTTGCGTGGAGGTAGTAGGTTCGAGGCCCATCGTAACCTTGAATGTATCTTTGTAATGCGCGGCTCCAACTTGTGCCATGTGCTCTTCAACTTAACTAAAGGTTTTTAGTCGTGTGCGTACTTTGCACACAAGCCTGTATTTGTATGTGTAATAATAAATAAATAAGCAATTTAAAAAAATTCGCGTGTGTTCATAATATAAGTTTGTTTATGAAATAATAAACCTATTTTTGCAACAATTTTTTATGCAAATTCTGAGCAGATGACATTTAAGAAACCGTGTGGAGGGTTTCCCTGTTGTAATAGGCAGTGGCACAGCCAGGAGTACTAATAAAAATTAAAATCATGGAATTTGAACCTTTCCATCATATCGCATACCTGCCAACATTTAATCCCTTCCATTATTATTTTTTCCAGTGGTAGTAAAATGGAATTAAAACTTCAATTTTAAGCATACAATTACATTGTATTTGAGAAAACTTAAGTTAAACTCCATGATAGTAACGCATATTNCAATATGAAAATACACATTCTTTCAGCAGCAATACCAGCACAACTCATAATTCAACTTGAAGGTAATCTTCGTTTAAGCAAACTAAAGCATTTCTTATGTATTTTCCTTACCAATGAAAACTTTAAACCCACTTATCTCAAAACATAATTTTTTGAGTTGTGCTGCTATTGCAGCCCATGAGCGATGTGATACTCAGTCTTGCAGTAGTTTAAATCATGAATTAAAAGAATAAATTAAGAGAAAAGATAGGCTTATAAAATCATAAAATGGATGCAAGAAAAATGGTGGTAAATGAATGGTTATTGTGCTGCGACTGTAGCGCCACTGAGTTCATCTGCAGGGAAGGTAATTATTAGGGAGGTTGGCTTAAAACTTCCTATAATCTTCCCACGGATTTTAAAAAATTAAAATACTCGTAGAAATATTAATTAATTAGATAAGATTTTTCTTTCTTAATAAAAAGGTTTAACGTTTTGGCATCTGGCAGTATTTAGTTATTTTACTAATACTCATTCAAACTTACGCATTATAAATACAGCATATAAACCAATGTACAGTTGAAAAACAGTACAAGTTTAAGAAAGACATCACAATGATGTATACTACAGAGATGTAAACTTGTTCCGGACAGCAAATATATATTTTAAAGTGGTAGTTTATCAATTGATATTCTTGGTTTAATAAATTCCATTTTATAGATTTTCATCCACCACAATTTCTAAATAATTCATAGGCTTATATAATTCACCACTTTACACAACGTATGTCATACTATACCTCTTAAAAAGCAAGAAAAAATTGTCAAATATTTGCAAAATTTACTTTGTAGTTATCTACCGTTTTTTAAATTATTTTGGCTTGTCCGGAACAGTTGGCATCTCTGATACTACGTTATGACAAGGTTCGAACCCGTTACTTCAATATTACAGAGTGTATGGCGTACAGCACGATCGCTTGGAAAGAGAGGTGTATACATTAAGTACTTGGTAAGGCATTAGTGTAGAATCCTGTTATATACATAATTTATTAAATAATATGTAATGGTAGTCACTAATCAATTAAAATTTCTACATTTATTTTATTTTTTTCTCACCATAATTTAAAATTTCTAAGCGCTTGGGAATTCAATTCAAAGTGATTTCGTTTTTATACTTGGGAGTTCATAGATTTTTTATAATTCATTTAAATCAACCACTTCCTAGAATTGTTTTTTATTAAAGCAAGAACCATAAAAATATCTCTTTATACAATTTGTTTTCCCATTGAATTGCAGTTTTCGGATCCTTTTTATGGAAGCTGGATTTCAAAATTGTCGCTTTCATTGTTCGCTGTTGACTATGATTTATATATATATCTCTTCTAAAGATATTCCATCAAAAAGCATGGACAAAAGAAAAATATATTTTTCAGAGGACTTTTGCTACCGTTTTGTTAGCTAAACAAGTTTAATTCTTATTTCTGTTCAGTGGGAATTGGATAAGAATGGGTTCATTAATATTTATGAAACATTTTCTGTCATATGACGGGAATGAGAATTTTCCATGTATTCTCAAGCTATGAGCTTATATACATATATATAAAGTTATTTTATTTATCTTTTGGAATACATCAAAATTTCCTCGAATAAATTGCATTTGTCGCCATTTAAGTTTCAGGAATAAAATTCATTCAAAAAGTTCAAATCGTGCAGAATAAAAGCATATATCAATTCAAATAGGGCGTTCAGTATTCCGGTCATCATTTTTTGCCAATAAAACTTAATTAATCATCATTTGAATAATTTGTTTTTTTACTTCTGTAGTCTAGATCGGGCCTGGTTGGTAGAGCGTTGGACTCGTGTTCGTGAGAATGAAAGTTCGAAAACAGTCTCCTGAAGAATCCCCGTGCATTAAATGGTGACTGGTGCACGTTGAATCTGTCGGAGTCACAAAGTCTTCTACGTTACCATTACAAATCATACCTCTGGGGAGTCGTGGTGGCTCGGGATAAGCCTCTCGCCTTCCAGTGCGGTGAACCAGGTTCGAATTCCAGCGATGACAGGTCAATTCGAAATCAGCACCCGGCTTGCACTGACCACAGTGCTGAAGTAAAATATCCTCAGTGTTTGACGGATCATGGGTTAGAGTGCCCTTGTTGTCAGGCTAACCGAGGAAGGTTTTCTTGGTTTTTCTCTCCATGTAACGCAAATGTGGGCAAGTTCTATCAAACAGTTCTCAACGAAGGCATACTTGATCCAGGAGTTCCCATATCTGCTGGATTGGGTTCAAAATTATAAGGCTAGGGAGTTGAACTTTGATAGTCGTAAACCCAAAATTGGGTTGATTGTTCAACGAAGGTTATAAAATAGTCTAGATCTTTAATTTTGTCTTTTCAATTATCTCTGATGTCGGCCAAGTGGCCCAAGCGGTTAGCGTGCCTGACAGCAAAGCCATTGGTTGAGGGTTCGAATCCCACACAGGGCATTATGGATGTTTCTTTCTGTGTGTTGTCCCCTGTTGTGTGAATGTGTCCCACCCTATGAACGGGTATCTGTGGCAGCGTGGCGTGCTCACCCCCGTGACTAAGGTTCACAGGAGCCCACCCGGTAACGTTAGAGAGCAACACTTCAGGCGTCTTCCGAGGCAAAAGCCGTTAAAAAAATTATCTCTGATAGATAATAACACGAAATCTTGCTTTAACAAGTTATATGCAATTTTCATAAAATCGCCACACAAGTTCCCGGAATGTGTTATATTATTTATTTTTGATAAATTTTTTAGCCTTATATTTGTTACAAGTTAATGCCTAATACTATTTGTTACACATATATTTTAAAATCAATCAATTCCCTACTCCACTTAAACTCCTACTCCGCAAGAAATGTTTAAAAATGGTTGCGAATTAATAACTAATGCTTGGAAAAAATTTGATTAATATCGCTTTTTCTTTAATTTGCTCTTTTCGAAATAAATGGAATACAGTGGTGTTTATGAATAGTTGAAGTAGTGGGGCTAAATTACTTTAAATCGAATTAACTAAACTCGGAATTATACATTTAGTCAAAACTATCGCTACACTCGTAAAAATTGGCCCACAAACGAAACAGGTTAGCATGTTTGTCAATTCATAATAAATTGACTATGACACATTTTTAGTTTTAAGAGAGTTTTCAAGAATTTTCCAATTCGTACATGGAGTAATGCCGGATAAGTTTTTTTAAACATCCTTAAAACTTATTCCAAGTGTCTTGAAAATTAATTATGATAATGGAAGCACATATTAAGTACCTAGAAAACTAAGTTGAAAAAATATTTCAACTACCGCAGCTTGTTAAGAATTAGAACAACAACATTTATTACAAATCTGAGAAATAATATTACTCTTAATCTGAAATAACTAATTTCAGAGATGCTGACATACTTCAATTTTTAAATAAATATTTTCTAATGGTAACGAAATTTAAAGTGTTTTTAGTTACACACTACAAGTATCATATAAAATGTAACTTTATTGTAATTATCTCATGCCGGCACTTTTAAACCTTTCGCGCCGACTGTCACANGGAATAATAAAAATCCATAACTACCAATTGTTTTTAACGGATGCAATTTTTATATTGAATTGCTTCTTCGCTGTGATAAATTTCCTTACAGTGAATTGTTATTGATAAGAATAGATTAACTCCTTCCGAATATTATCTAATAATGAAATAGTTCTTCTACCAGCATTTTCTCTTTTTCCGTACCAGTATTTTCACTTTTCCCGGCGTTAACGTGTTAATTTGCTCTTTTCGAAATAACTGGAATGCAGTTGTGCTTATGAATAGTTGAAGTAGTGGGGCTAAATCACTTTAAGTCGAATTTTCTAAACTCGGAATTATACATTTAGTCAAAACTATCGCTACCACTCGTAAAAATTGGCCCACAAACGAAACAGGTTGGCATCTTTGTCAATCATAATAAATTAACAATGAGACTTTTTTAGTTTTAAGAGAGTTTTTAAGAATTTTCCAATGCCTACAAGGAGTAATGCTGGATAAGTTTTTTTTAAACATCATTAACACTAGCATGCCTAAGGAAGTC